ATAATACATTTTTTAATTTAATAACTAAATACACATTTTGAAAGTTTTGACATTAGGAAACATTGGTATTACAATGCAAATTTTATCAGAACAATCCTTAAAATATTTACATATAGTAAAAAGTGCAGGGTGATTTAAATTCTATTATTTATAGGGGAGTTAATTTTCTAATTTGTCTTTGCTGTAGCTGCTAGTCCTCTGACATTAACCACCAGTAACCCACCCAAACTCATCGTTCAAGTAGGATACATGTGATATAATTTCAAATTGCTACAATGTATTAATAGAATTATCAGGAAGAGCTAAAATTGTATCAATGTTACAACTAATTTGCTAGTTACAAAAATATATTTTTTTTATTAGTGACAGTGAATAAAACAAAATGAAGTTATTGTAAACAGTGAAACAGAACTAAATATTGATATGGCAAAAGTGTCAGAGGTTATAAAAAGCCCATGCCTGGTTCATTTGTCTTCATGTGAAAATTATCCAAGATTAATTCAAAATATTTGAATACACTTGATGAGTATTGCATTAAGAAGCAGGTCTGGCTACATATTATTGTGATCTCTTAAATTGTCTATACAAGTATGAAAAAGAATATTATGATGGTGCAGGTAGAATTAGGATTAAAAGTGAAATGCACCAGGTAAATATAAGAAAAATTGAACTCGTGTGTTGCTCTAGTTTACCTGGTTTATTTAAATCTTCTAGTAAATTTAAAGCACCATGTGTTTGATGTCACAGTTTAAGCTGAACTGTTTAGGTTTCAATTTACTATTGCTTGTATGAGTTTAACCCTATATATCAAGAGCCTTAAATTAATTAAAGATGTCAAGAACTAATTAGAGTTCTCAAGACTGGTGGCAACCCTTGCTGCAGTGATCCTGCCCTGGTGGAATTCACAATCTTGAGGGATATGGGCCAGGTGAAGAGTAGAGTCAGGACATTCAATTTTAAGAGATCAAAATTTCAGTTGTTTAAGGAATTAGTGGATGGGACTCCCTGTGAAACTGCCCTCAGGGATAAAGTAGCTGAACAGAGTTGGCAGCTCTTCAAGGACATTATTCTTAGAGCACAAGAGCTCTTAATTCCCACATGCAAGAGATCAGACAAGGAAGGCAGGAAACCAGAATGGCCTAGTAAGGACCTCCTGGTAAAACCTAAAGTACGAGAAGGAAATGCACAGGCTGTGGAAACAGGGACATGGGAACGTGGAAAGAATATAGGGATGCTGCCCGAATGTGTAGGGATGGGATCAGGAAAGCTAAGGCATAGCTGGTACTGAATTTGTCAAGGGATGAGAAGAATGAGAAGGGCTTCTACAGGTACGTTGGCCAGAAAAGAAAGATTAAAGAAAATGTATTCTCTTCTCCAGCCTGATAAATAGCACAGGAGAACTGGTGACAACTGACATGGAAAAGGCTTAGGTACTCAACAATTTTTTTGCCTCCGATTTCAGTGAAAATCTCTCTTCCCACATATCTAAAGCCCCGAACCTCAAGACAGTAGCTGGAGGAAAGAAGTCCCTCCTATCATAGGAGAAGAACAGTTCATGACCACCAGAGGAACCTGAGTGCACACAAGTCCATGGGACCCAACAAGATGCATGCCAGGGTCCTGAGGGAATTGGCTGATACAGTTGCCAAGTCATTCTGCATTATATTTGTTATGGCAGTCAGGAAACGACCCCGGTGACAGGAAAAAGGGAAACATGATACCCATTTTAAAAAAAAGGTAAAAAGGGGGACGCTGGAAAGAACCGACCAGTCAGCCTCACCTCCAGCCTTGTGAGATCATGAAACGCATTGTCCTGAAAAGTATTGAGTCCAGTATTATTTAGCTTATTCATCAATAATTTGGATGAAGGAATAGAGTGCCTTCACTGCAGGTTTGCTGACCATACAAAACTGTGAGGAGTGGCAGATACTCCAGAGTGCTATGCTGACATTTAGAAGGATCTCAGCAGATTGGAGACATGGGCAGAGAAGAGCTGTCTGAAATTCAACAAAGGCCAGTGCACAGTCTTGCACCTGGTAAGGAATAACCCCAGAGACCAGTACAGGCTGGGGGTGACCTGCTCAAAAGCAGCTCTGCAGAGAAGGACCTGGGGGTCCTGATGAACAACAAGCTGCCCATGAGCCATCAGTGCCCTTGTGGCCAAGAAGGCAAATGGCATCCTGGGGTGCATTGGGAAGAACATTGCCAGCAGGTGGAGGGAGGTGATCCTGCCCCTCTACTCAGCCCTGATGAGGCCACATCTGTAGTGCTATGTCAAGTTCTGGGCTCTTCAGTACAAGAGAGACATGGAAATCCTCAACCAAGTCCAGTGGAGAGCTATAAAGATGATTAGAGGACTGGAGCAACTCACTTATGAGTAAATGCTCAGGAAGCTGGACCTGTTCAGCTTGGAGAAGAGATGACTGAGGTGATCTTACCAATGTATATAAGTATCTAAAGGGAGGGTGCCAAGAGGATGGGGCCAGGCTCTGCTTGGTGGTGCTGAGCAATAAGATGAGAATCAACAGGCAGAAACTGGAACACAGGAAGTTCCAACTGAACATTAGGAAGAACTTTACTGTGCAGGTGACTGCACAGGTGACTGAGCATTGGAACAGGTTGCCCAGAGAGACTGTGGAGTCTTCTTTCCTGGAGATATTCAAGAACTGTCTGGATACAATCCTAAATAATGCCCTTGCTTGGGCACATAGGTTGGACTAGTCAACCTCCAGTGGTCCCTTCCAACTTACCCATTCCATGATTCTGCATATGTCAAAATGTGGAAAACAAGGAGGTAATTAGAGACACAGCCAATATGACTTCACCAAAGGCAAATTATGTCTGACTAATCTAGTGGTCTTCTACAATAGAGTGACTGCATCAGTGGAAAAGGGAAGAGTTATGGATGTCATCTACCTGGACTTCTGTAAGGCCTTTGAAATGGTCCCCCAAAACATTCTGGCCACTAAATTGGAGAGATATGGGTTTTATCAATGGACTGTTAAATAGATAAGAGACTGTCTGTATAGCCACGTCTGAAGAGTTACAGTCAATGTCTCCAAGTCCAAATGGAGATCAGTGACTAATGGTGTCCCTCTGCGGTTCATACTGGGATCAATACTGTTTAATATCTTCATCAACGTAACACACAGTGGGATTGAGTGAACCCTCAGCAAGATTCCAGATGACACCAAACTGAGTGATTCAGTTGGTTTGCTATGTAGCATCCAGAGGGACCTTGACAGGCTTGAGGAGTGGGCCCATGCAAATCTCATTAAGTTCCCCAAGGACAAGTGCAAAGTACTGGACCTGGGTCAGAGCAATCCCCAGTATCAATACAGACTAGGGAATGAACAGATTGAGGGCAGCTCTGCAGAGAAGGACTTGGGGATGCACTGGTGGACGAAGAACTGGCCATGAGCTGGCAATGTGCACTTGCAGCACAGAAAGACAATCACATCCTGGGTTGAATGAAAAGAAGCATGGCCAGCAGGTCAAATGAGGTAATTCTCCTTCCCTACTTTGCTCCTGTGAGACCCCACTTAAGAGTGCTGCATTCAGCTCTGAGGTGCCCAGCACAAGAAGAACTTGTTAGAGTGGTTCCAGAGGAGGGACACAAAGATGAATAGAGGGCTGGAACACCTTTCCTATGAGGAAAGACTGAGAGTTGGGGATTTTCATCCTGGAGAAGAGAAGGCTCTAGGTAGTCTTTCAGTACTTAGAGGGCTTATAAGAAAGACAGGGACAAAATTTCTAGTAGGGCCTGTAGCAGTAGGACAAGGGGTGAACACTGAAAGAGGGTAGGTTTTGATTAGCCATAAGAAAGTGTTTACAATGAGGGTGGTGAGACACTGAAACAGATTGCACAGAGAAGTTGTGGATGCCCCATACCTGGAAGTGTTCAAGGTCAGATTGGTCAGGTCTTTGAGCAACCTGATCTAGTGTAAGATGTCCCTGCCCATACTGTGATCAGTTTTGGGCCTCTTACTACAAGAAAGACATTGAGGTGCAAAGAAGGACAAGGAAGCTGGTGAAGAATCTGGAGAGTAAGTCATATGAGGAGCGGGGCTGAGGGAGCTGGGATTGTTTAGCTTGGAGAAGAGGTGGCTCAGGGGAGACCATATCACTCTCTACAACTACCTGAAAGGAGGCTGTAGCAAGATTTTCAGTCTTATCCACATTCTTATGCATGAAAGCATCCCCAGTGAACTGCACTGGTTTTGGCTGGAATAGAGTTAGTTTTCTTCACAGTAGCTGGTATGGGGCTGTGTTTTGGATTTGTGCTGAAAACAGTGTTGATAACACAGGGATGTTTTAGTTATTGCTGAGCAGCACTTAAACAGAGTCAAGGCCTTTTCTGCTTCTCACACTGCCCCACCAGTGAGTAGGCTGGGGGTAGACAAGAAGTTGCGAGGGAACACAGCTGGGACAGTTAACCCTAACTGACCAAAGGGATATTCCATACCATATGATGTCACACTCAGAAATAAAACTAGGGGAGACATTGGCAGGGGGGCCACTGCTTGGAGACTGACTGGGCAGCTGGACTGGCTCAGTCAGTTGGTGAGCAATTGCTTTCATTTGCATCACTTGTCTTTCTTGGATTTTATTTGCATTCTCAGATATTTTTTCTTTTCCTTATAATTTTTTTATTCCTATCAGTATTATCACTATTGTTTTCATTTTAAAATTAATAAACTGTTTTTATGTCAACCCACGAGTTTTCTCCTTTTTATTCTTCTGATTCTCTTCCCCATCCTGCTGGGTGAGAGTGAGTGTCTGTATGGTGCTTAGTTGCCAGCTGGGATTAAACCATGACAGCACTATACTATTTACATGTACAGAGTTAAACTAAATGTAAATATTTGCAAGACAAAGTCATGTGTTACTGATTCTGCCAACATAATATGCTTTTTGCTACAGAAACATGTCAGCATGCCAGAACATCATAGTGATTAAGAAATATCCCCAAAGATTTAACATAGTTCTTAAGTACTTACTGTAGCTGGGGAGGCCCGTGTTGTATGAGTCACTGAATGACCAGAATTTTCCATTGAATTGCCAATCAGATAGGTCCCTCCTGAGTTGCTAATGAACTGTCCTCCTGCAACACCCATCTGAATCCCTCCGGTGCCCACCATACTATGAGAGGAGACCACCGTAGTTGCCTGTGCAGAACTTCCTTCGAAGTAATTTCCCCCAGTGTTTTGGCTATACATCTGGGTTTCCGTGTAAGGATAAGTTGTTCGACTTCAGGAAAAGAAAATAAAAGAAGCAATAGTTATTTATTTGAATTAAGTGAGGGAAACATCATTGTAGAAAAGAGTGTACAGTTGCTATAACCAAACTTAACAAGATTGGCAAAAAAACCCCGCATCTATACAAAATAACATTTCATATGTCAAAGTACTGAGTAATTAACTTGGACTCACTGTTAAAATAAGTATTCATTAAACTTAACAGAAAATTATTTTAGCCCCATCTGAAGATGGGTGGAGAAAAGTATGATAAAAATTGAAGATATGAGAGGAAGATCTCATTCAAGTATTAATATATTATACAGGAATTTAAAAAACTGTTTTAACTTTTAAAATCCTCCAGTCAAAGCTGGATTTTTATTTATAGGCCATTTATTTTGTATACTGTTTTCAGCTGGAATAGAAGTAATTTTCTTTGTAGAAGTTGATACAGTGCTGTGTTTTGGATTTAGGATGAGAATAATGTTGATAGCATACTGATTTTAGTTGTTGCTATGTGGTGCTTATACTAAGTCAAGGACTTTTCTGCTTCTCATGTCCAGCCAGCAAGAAGGCTGGGAGTGCACAAGAAGCTAGGAGAGGGCACAGCCAGGACATCTGACCCAAACTGACAAAAAGGATATTCCATGTGTGAGCTCACAGCTCAGGAAGTCAACCACATCCTGGACTGCATCAAAAGGAGAATTGGCAGCAGGTTGAAGGAGGTGATTCTCCCCCTCTACTCATGTCTTTTGAGACCCCATCTGGAGTACTGAGTACAGTTCTGGTGCCCTCAACATAAGAAGGGCATGGACCTGTTGGAGCAAGTCCAGAGGAAGGTCATGAAGTTGATAGGAGGACTGGAGCACCTCCCCTACAAACACAGGCTGAGAAAGTTGGGACTATTCAGCCTGGAGAAGAGAATGTTGTGTGAAGGCCTCATAGTAACCTTCCAGTACCTGAAGGGACCTACAGGGAAGCTGGAGAGGGACTCTTCGTCAGGTACTATAGTGATAGGACAAGGAGTAATGGGTAAAAATTGAAAGAGAAATTTAGGTTAGACATAAGAAAGAAATTCTTTACTGTAAGGGTGGTGAGGCACTGGAACAGGTTGCCCAGGGAGGTTGTAGATGCCCCAAACCTGACAGTTTTCAAGGCCAGGTTGGATAAGGCCTTGAGCAACCTGATCTAGTGGGTGGCATCCCTGCCCATGGCAGGGGACTTGAGACTAGATAATCTTTAAAGCCACTCCTCCCAGCCCTTAACATTCTATGATGTCATGCTCAGCATATAATCTGGGAGAAGTTCGCCAGGGGGCTGGAATCACCGCTCAGGGATGGGCTGGGAATCAGTCAGCAAGTGGTGAGCCATTGCATTTTGCATAATTTGTTTTGTATATTCTATTTTTTCTCTTCCTTTTTTATCTTAGTAAACTTTCTTTATCTCAACCCATGAGGCTTGCTATTCATAAAATCACTGAATCATAGAACCATCAAGGTTGAAAAAGACCTTTAAGATAATCAAATCCAACCATCAACCTCAACAATTGTCAAGTCCAACTGTCAAACCATTTTTCCCAATTCTCTTCCCCATCCCACTGCAGGGAGGGAGGAGTGAATGAACAGCTGTGTGGTGCTTAGTTGCTGGCTGGGGTTAAACCACAACAACTGTGTACGTTACAAAACTGTGAGAAATGACTGCTCACTCTAAAAAATTTAAAAGGTTTATTAAACCTTAACAAAAATACAACAAAAGGACTAAATAAGGAAAAACAGGCCTGGGAGCCTCCCTCGTGGCTGCCTACCACACAGCTCCTCTTCAAGATGGATGATTTGCCTTTTATATGCTGGGGTTGTCCTAGATAACCCAGGCTGTCTGATGGCAACAATACAAAGGGGGGGAAAGGGGACTATGGGGAGAACAGAGGACATCTAAACAACAAACTACAATAACATAACTATACATCAATAAAGCTTCCCTTAATAATCACACAATATTCATCCCTTCATTGCGAAAGCCAATCATCTCATTATCCATCTATAACAAAACTGTAAACGTGACAAAAAAATGTCAGCCAAGCGGGTCCTATATACAGGAGTCCTATAAATGCTTTGCTTTGATTTCAAATTCACTGAAATTCTCTGTCTGAAGCTTGAAATTCTGAGCTCATTTGTATTTTAAGACATTCAGTTCAGCAGAGTGAAATTTTAAATTGGACAGCAATATGTACAGTGTTATTATTGTTATGAATAAGGGGGTAATTCGTGCTGGAAATATAAGATTATTAATGTAATATAAAATAAAGCTTTAAGATCATGCCAGCCGAGGGGAGAGGGTGATTGCCACACAGGACAGCTCGCAGCCGAGGAGGACGTGCATCATTAACATAGGAAGAAAACCTAGCCGGCACAGGAGATGGGCACTCCCTGATGGCATGAACAAGAAAATGCCCAGTGATGATGGCCCATGTAGATGTCCACCTCAGATAGACAGGACCATCAAGGACATACATCTGAATGAAGGATTCCGGGAACTGGAGACTGATACACATCAATTCCCAGAAGTGGCTTTGTCCAGCACAGGACAGAGAATAGACACTGCATGAATATGAAGGACTCCAGGAGGGGACAAAGGGACTCCTCCACGGGCAAGAAAAAGAGTATAAAAACCGAATTCTGCCAGGCCTTGATGGTGAACAGGGGGATCCAGTGCAATAGAGGCTGGACCATAGTTCACCCGCTCCGATCCCGGGGTCGGCGCTACTTCTTGATTGTTGGTGGTCGGGACTGTATATCGGTCACAAATAAATTATATTTTTATTTTTGATCTAATTGGCTGGATCAATTTTTACCTATAACATTATGAGAAAGAAGGGAAAACTAAAATAGAACTACATTTTGTGAAAGGATTTGTGAAGGGAATAGAAAAGTCAAAGGAACAGCAGCAATTTTACACAATTCCTTCCAACTATTAAACATTTGGGCCTCATTAACCAGTTAATCTTTGTGGGAGGTTAGGATGGGTTTTTTTTCTTTTTCTCTCAGGAAATTTTCTCCCATTTGCTGCTATGAGATATTAATGACCAGTACTTAAGAGACACAAAAGAAGTGTCCAAGGTGGGGGGAAGGGGTGCAGCCAGCTGCACCCCCTTAGCCAAGGGCTTTTCTCTTGGGAAGGGCAGAGATACTGTGAGATTTTGGCTGGGGGTAAGGGGCTGGGCTCAGCTCTGAGCTCTCTCTCGCTCTTGGGACCAGAGGGGAGATAGGCTGCAGTCGCTTTGGGAAGAATTCACCACCACTGCGAAGTCCCATCTCCTACTATTTTCTCCTACCATGAGTTTTGGGTTACTCTCCTGGCAGCTGAGTGAAAGGACTCTGTGTATACTGTTGTCAATTCGGTAGTAAATTACACTGACTCCTAATCTATACTATTTCTTTGCTAGCTATAATATAGGTGCCTTTATGTCATGCACTGTTTTATATAATCTACTAGTAGTTCTTTTAGTTTATACTGTGCAGTAACTCTGTTTAAGGCCTTTTGTCTGTTACCTCATATCTGTTCAATAAATAACTCATTTTACAATAGACTTAATCGACCATTCTTAAGAACTTGGGAGCTAGAGTGATTTAGGTGAGGGTCACTTAAGCAGAGATGCTGCCAAAAATCTGAGCCTAAGGTAGGGCCTAACTAAAGCTCTCACTCCATCCAAAACAGTCTCACCAGATGTATTTGTTTTGGTTCATGGCAAATTTGGGAGAGAACTTTTAAAGGGGCTCCTCTAGAAAAGCAGATTTAATTGTCTTCTTCTCTTAACCGGTTCGGGAGAAAATACTTTCTTGGAGAAAAGTGGAAAAAAACCTGTTTATTAAACAATAAAACTTCGTGTTGCTTTAAAAGAGATGACAAATTCAGAAAAGTCCCCTCACCAGGTTGCAGCTTGGCTTACTCAGTTTCTTATCAGTCCTTCTAGCGCTGGAAATGCTGCAGCCCAGGCCCGGCCCAATGGGCCACAGGTGTGAGCTGTTGCTGCTTTTTTTGGTGTTTAGTTTAGAGCAGGTTTAAACAGGTCTAAAGAAAAGGGGGGAAAAAACCTTACAGTTTTGGGAACTTCTTTGTTTCAGATAGCTAAAATTAACTAAAAAAAAAGGAGAGCTCTGTCCCGCTGTCTGTTTATTCCCAGACAACACAGTCCAGGAGGAGGAATGTGGAGGAGTGAGTGCAGTGTTTGAAAATAAACTGTGTGCTTCTTTTTTCTTCTTTTTACTCTTTGGAATAAGTTTTAAAGGTGCAAAATTTATTCAGCATAAACAGAACAAGCCGATTGGGGATAAAAGCATCATATAGTTAACTTAGGACATTCTACCTCTTATTTCTATATCGTCAGCTTATTACTAAAACTAATATATATTCTAACTCTACAAACACATACATTATACATCCAATATACAGCTATACACAGACAATGGTAGTAACATTCAGCAAATAGTGATATTTATACATAGTTTTCACTTAACAATCTGATTTTCTTGAGGTACACATTGTGTTTTTTCTTTTTTGCATTATTTACTATATGCAACTTGTTTTTTCAGCAAAAACAACTTTATGAATGGGTTTGTTTGTACTTGAGGCAAAATTGATCTAAACTGTCTTCTTTAACAAACTTCTGACATGTACTACTGGGACTTTATCTACTTTATCCAAAGGCTTAGATTGGGCAGGGCCTACTTGGTTAGTAGAGCTTCAGGTGTTAACTAACCAGTTGACTTTTGTTAGATGCTGCTTTTAATTTTTGAAAGATTTTTTATTTAATGCTTTTAAGGTAGTTTTTAACAGTCTGTTGTATTTTTCTACTTTGCCTACAGCTGGTGCATGGTAGGGGATATGGTACACTCACTTAATGTTATGTTCCCTAGCCTAGGTGTTGATAAGGTTGTTTTTGAAATGAGTTTTGTTGTCTGACTCAATCTTTTCAGGGGTATTATGTCTTTACATGACTTGTTTTTTAAGGTTTAG